CATGGAATACAGAAGTAAATGGAAGAATCCACTGTTGAGGCAGTAGACTTGCTTGAGCCCAGGAGCTGGAGGTTGCTGTGAGCATGATGCCATGGCACTCTCCCCAGAGGGACAGCTTGAGGCTCCGTCTCAAAAAAAAAAAAAGAATGTTGATCATGGTGGTTTTAATGACCTTTTAGACTAGGAATAAAGCAGTTGAGAAATATTTTTTTTGTTCTTAGGTGGCAAGCAGTTAAATACATACGATCCTTTCAGTAGAAACCCTTTGTTCTGTGGAGCTGAAAATACAAGTCTTTGGGAACTCAAAAAGGTAAAATAATTTCAAATTGTCTTTTAATTCATGTGTGCTATATATTTTTGCCCTCATGGATTTAAAATCTCAGAGTTTTCATTTTTCTTATGAAGATAAATATAGAAGTTAACAAACATTAAATTACCAAACATTAAATCGTTTAAGGTATTCATTTGGTAGAAAAATCTTAAATGTGCATGTAAAGGAAGGATGCTCTGAACGGCTTCTAAGCTGCTTTTTGTAGGCAGATGATTGCATATATAGACCAGGAAAATGGATCAGTTTTGCCCTTTTTTTCTTTACCAACTGAGCTAGCTGGGCAATTTTGCCTTTTTAAATATACTAGAGGAATTTATATTTCTAATAATCTTTCTGTGATTCCTTTTGTAAAGCTAATAAGTATCTTCCTTTGAGGCTATTCTCAAAGGGTGACCACAGACCCAAAGGGTTCGTGATACTTTTTCAATGACTCTGCAAGGTCTTATCCACTTTCATAGTTATACCAAGACATTATTTATCTTTGTTACTGTGTTGACAGCGGCACTGATGGTGTAAAAAGACATGATGAGTAAAACCACTGATTCTTTACATGAATAAAGACAATAGCACCAAACTGCATTAGTAGCCATTATACTCTTCACTGCCACATACTTGGCAGTTAAAAAAAACAGTTCCATTTAAGATGATGAAGCAGTAAGAATTATTTAGTGTTACGATTTTAAAGTGCACGTCTATTTTTTGTAGAGACGAGGGTCTCGCTCTTGCTCAAGCTGACTTTTTAGTATTTCATGTGCATATATAGCAAGTATATATAGAATACTTAACACTGTGTACCTAACAGAGGTTGTCAATGTGTCTTTTTTTTTTTGAGACGGAGCCTCAAGCTATCCCCCTGGGTAGAGTGCTGTGGCATCACAGCTCACAGCAACCTCCAACTCCTGGGCTCAAGCGAGTCTCCTGCCTCAGCCTCCCAAGTAGCTGGGACTACAGGCCCCCACCACAACGCCTGGCCATTTTTTGGTTGCAGCCATCACTGTTGTTTGGCGGGCCCGGGCTGGGGATTCGAACCTGCCACCTTAGGTGTATATGACTGGCGCCTTAGCCGCCTGAGCCACAGATGCTGAACCGTCAATGTGTCTTAAGGAAGAGTGCTTATCCTCTACACTCTTAATACTGCTGCTGCAAGCTCATCTAGCTTCTTTCTGTGAAAAACTGATGGACAAACTGGTTGTTTAGGCTTAGGTATTTTCTTCAAAATGAATTAATTGAGCCTGTTACTTCAAACAAAATAACTAGCAGTATTTGCTGTCAATGGTAAAATTCAAACTTTTAAGCAAAGATAAAAATTACAGAAATTCTGTAACCACTACTTTGAGCTTGACAGTTTCTCAGTATTTAAAAACTTTTCTAATGAAATTAGTGGTGATACTAATAATGCAATTTTTATGGTGAAATGTGACAGCATTTGGGAGAACTGCATAACTCAGTGGGCTAGTACTTTTTGAATGGCCAGTTAACATTGTTACAAATTCATGAATGGATAAAAGTTCTACAATAGACCAGTTTTTAAGTAACAAGTGCCAAAAGCCAACTGAATGTGGTTTCAGTTTGCATATTGCAACTGATCTTCAGTTTTAATGTAGTATTGAAGAAGAAAATTCACAATTATGTGATAGACTATTTTCCAACTGTGTGTCTGTGTAAGTCCAGATTTCTTCATGTACTTTTAACATGGAATACAGAAGTAAATGGAAGAATCCACTGTCTTAAGTCAGACATTAAACAGATTTGCACAAATGTGAAATAATGTTACTCTTCTGTATTTTTGTTCTGAAAAATACTTTTAAACATTTATATGAATACGTCTGGATTGTTATTTTAAATGCACTGTAAGTATTTAAAATTTTTTATTTATTTTTAATAAGGTAAATGTCAAAAACATAACCCTCTAAAATAAAAACAATTTGGGGTCCTTGATTTTTAAAGTGCAGGAAATGGTCGTAAGACCAAAATATTTCCAATTCACTTTTCTAATGTATTGGCTTAAGTTTCAAATTTCTGGATTTTCTTAAATAAGCTATACTTGTAATATGAGTTAACCTTAGAAATATTGACATTATTCACATTTTTCTTCTTAGTTATCTGAGCATTTTCATCCATCTGTGGCTCTTTTTGCAAAGACTATCCTTCAGGTATGTCTCAAATATTCAGAAAACAAGAAATAAGAAAAAATAAGTAGTATGGTTTTTAGATAATAATTGGTTGTACAGTGTTTCCTCCACCAGACAGAATCATGTGCATTTTACTGCTCTTCTAAAGGAGCAGTAAGTTGTTTAATACAAAGCAGCAGATAGTTTTTCCTGCTCTGAGATGAATGGAAATCATGAAGATGTAAAACCACCACACTTATTTATTACAGTCTGTCTCCTCTGCTGAAGAAAGAATCCCCTCCCTTTTCCCTCTTGTTATGTTTGCCATTTGGGGGGTTTGGTTCCTGGATAATGGTTAGATTGCCCAAATTATTAATATTAATAATGTTTAACCATAAACCCAACAGCATATCATAGAATATGTATGGAAAACAGAAGCAAATGAAATGCATATGTATTTGTGTGTTTTATTTGTTTAAGTATAATCCACGTGAGATATTTGAAGGGTCATTTGTTGCATGTTTGTGCCTTTAATGCAATGTAATAGCAGCTTATGTTTGTCGTCTTTTTCATATCTAGATGCATAGATAAAATTGGGTTAAGTTCTTACATCCCCCTTCACTTTTCAGGGAAATTATATTCAGTATTCAGGTGACCCTCTACAGGATTTCACTCTAATGAGATTCTTGGATCGATTTGTATACCGAAATCCAAAGCCCCACAAAGGCAAAGGTATGTTTCTGTCTGATGATTTGGCTTTCATTGTTGATGTTTAATAAGCAGTATGAACATATAACTAGGTTTTACATTATGCTGTCATGATTTTATGTTTCAGTAAACACAGACAGTGTTGTGATGCAGCCCAAAAGGAAACAGTTTATAAAGGATATTCGTAGTCTTACTGGTACGTATAAAGCTTGGACAGCCAAGATAGTATACAATAATAACATGTAAATTGTTATTCTTTGCTCTACACTATCAACAAAATTTGAGCACCAAAGATATCTATCTTTTGTTCCCAAGAATGTGTATATATTCTCATCTACTGAGTCTTCTTTAAAATTTTATTACAGAAAACATGTCCAGTGTAAAGATAAATGGTATGATGAACCCCTATGCATATTGGCCCAGTTTTAATAGTTACCAGCATTTTGCTATTTGCTATTTTTGTATCACCTGTAGTTTCATCAGCAACCCCTCTATACGTAATTGTTATCATTTATAATTCAAACCATTTTTTTTTTAAGACAAGGTCTCACTCTTGCCTGGGCTAGAATACAGTAGCATCATGATAGCTCACTATGGCCTCCAACTCATGGGCTCAAACAATCCTCCTGCCTCACCTTACTAAATAGCTGAGACTACAGGCACATACTACCATGCCTGGCTCATTTTTTTATTTCACTTTACTGTAACTAATGGCTGCGTGTTGCCTACTTTTTGCTGTAACCAGTTTTAAATATTGGGTCTTATTACAGACTTTTCCAGAGATTGTTCCTTGCACTACAGGATCCCTTCCACCCACCTTTCCTCATGATTTTGAGATTTTAGAATTCTAGATATGCTATAGTTAGTCTTAAGAGCTTGCATAAAAGGGACTGCTATAATGACTTAAAATATTCAAATTTATTTTTCCAGTGAACAGTAAAGAGTTCCTGGCAAAAGAAGAAAGCCAGATACCTGTGGATGAAGTGTTTTTCCACAGGTACAGTACTTGGTTTCATTTGGGGAACTACTAAAATTTAGATTTTTAGATTCCATAAAATGCATCAGTTAATATCAGCATATTTTGAAAAGATCAAACGGCATATCTTTATCCGTTTTGTTTTTTTTTTTTTTTTTGAGGGAGTCTCACCATGTCGTCCTCGGTAGAGTGTTGTAGCATCACAGCTCACAGCAACCTCCAACTCTTGGGCTTCCAAGCCATGGGGACTACAGGGGCCCGCCACAACACCTGGCCATTTTTTTTGTTGTCGCAGTTGTCATTGTTGTCTAGCTGGCCCAGGCCGGTTCAAACCCGCCACCTCGATGCATGTGGCTTGGGCCATAACCTCTGTGCTATAGGTGCCAAGCCTATCTTTATCCATTTTTATGAAGGGAATTTATAAATCAGTCATTTTGCTACTATCAGTGAAACTAAAGTAAATGTGGGGATTTTGTTTTTAATAACATAGCATAAAAATTTTGTTTTAAGGATCTGACTTTGTGGAACTTCATCTTTAATTTCTTTTTCTAATAGGCTTAAAATCTGCATCCGTTTAATACAGTGATAAATCTTAAGTAATTCGCCCAACCAATGGCATTTGAGCAGATGCAGTAAAATTCGTTGCACTACTATAGAAATAAGTCCTGAATCTGCTAGCATGACTACCAGTGCACAATAGCAGTGAAGTACCTGCTCTTTCATCTGGTTGATTCCTTAATTAGGTTTGATTTTCTTAGCTTTTTTAAAACACTTGGTGGAAATAATTTTGAGGGTATGATTCCATCTGTAAATTGCTAAGTTTTACTGTATCCTAATATATAAGAATTGGCTGTTAAAATACTGTTATTTGAGGTCATTTAGTGCCACATTTTATAATACTCTAGTATATACATCATTAGTGTTGATGCTGAAATGACCTATACTATTCCATTTTGATTAAGGTGAGTTCAGATGTTTTTGTGCAGAACTAGCTAATTTTCTCTATTTTTAGTAGAGATGGGATCTTACTCAGGCTGATCTTGAACTCCTGAGCTCAAGGGATCCTCCCACCTTAGCCTTTTAGAGTGGTAGGATTACAGATATGAGCCTCCAAACCCAACCTAAACTTTTTTTATATTAAATACAAATTTCACTCATTTATATCCAATTGATGAGTATACTTAAGCTTTCACAATTATGGATTGTCACTAGTTATAGGGCTTTTTTTTTTTACAGTAAGGTTCAGTCTTTAATAAAATTATCAAATAAATAATATGCATTTTATTTTAGGTATTATAAAAAAGTTGCTGTTAAAGTGAAACAAAAACAGAATTCAGATGAAGAAAGTATAGAAGATGTGGATGATGATGAATTTGAGAAGCTGATTGGTAATTTTTTTTTTACCCATCACTAATAACTTATTACTATTTGTTAATAGAACATGGAACAGAGGTAGAAGCGGCCTTAGTTTTAAAACATCATTTATCTAGTAATATGCAATTCAGAATGAGAGATGAAGTATTTTGATAGCATATGATAATTCACCCACATTTACTCCAGAAGAATACCCTACTTACACAGACTTTGTCAGTATACAAAGTCTGACAATTAAGTTCACAAACTTGTCCTAGAAAAAGTGCTACCTATCTCATTGCTGAATATCAGTATGGTCATCTTCAGAGTACATCCCTTGGGAATCTGCACTGACACCAGTGCTTAGTCCACCCTTCAAAGCAATTTTGGAACTCTTTTTCTGGAATGGCCATCAGAGCTGTTGTAGTATTACCATTGATGTCCTGAATGTCATCAAAATGTCTTCTTTTATTACTTCCTTTATCTTCAGGTAAAGAAAAAAGTCACTAGGGGCCGGGTCACATAAGTAGGGAGAGGGTGTTCCAACCACTACAGTTAGTTATTTCCTGTCTAAAATCTCCCTCACAGACAGTGCTATCTAAGATGGTGCATTGTTGTAAAGCAAGAGCCATGAGCTGTTGCCCAACATCTCCAAATAAAATTTTCCTAACCATTTATTTCTGCTGATGTTTACGTGGTGTTTCCTTCAGTCAGCCAATGATTTTGATGCACAATTCTACAAACTTTTGCAATGTTTTCATCAGTTCTGTTTCTTACTGGCCACCCTGACCTCTCTTCATCAGTGACACTGTCCTCAGAAAAACATTTAATCCATTTGTATCACTGCCGTTTTCTTCATGGCATTATCATGAACATAAACATGAACTAACATTTCCCAGTCTCACTAAGTTACGAGACCTTACTGAGTTGTTTGTACAGTACTGCAGGCGTAGGTGCACAATGGCAAGTTTGTGAACTTAATTCTCAGAACTTTGTATATGAGGAAAACATTTAACTAACTTGACAGTACATTCATTTTTTTTTCTTTTGGGATAGGGTGTCACTCCGTTTCCCAGGCTAGAATGTGGTGGTGTCGCCATAGCTCAGTGCAACCTCAAACTCTTGGGCTCAAAAGATTCTCCTGCCTCAGCTTCCTGAGTAGGCAGGACCACAGGCCCATTCCACCACAGCTGGCTAATTTTTCTATTTTTTTGTAGAGATAGGGTCTCACTCTTGTTGTTCAGGGTGGTTCACCTCCTAGTCTCAAGCAGTCCTCCCACTTCACCCTCCCAGAGTGCTGGGATTATAGGCATGAGCCACCTCACTGGGCTAGTATATTCATCCTTAAGGCCAAATCGCATATAAAATAATAGCCATTCTTTTCATGACCTCTTTGTACTCTTGTTAATGACAATAATCAGCTGTTTTTTTTAATCTGTATAATCTGTAGAGCTGGAGAAATTTTAACTAAAATTTAATAGACTATAAATAAAAAACATTAAAAAATGGTAAGTTAGAAAGGTCTGCATTGATTTCATTTTTCTTACATATACATATTAAAAATGAGCACCTAAATCGGACTATGTTTGTTATATTTATTCTCTTGCCATAAAAGAACTATAGAAGCTGAAATTAACTGGATCCTATTTTAGTTTAAGGATTTAATTAAGATCAGTTTTCCACAGGTTTATATACATTAAGAAGATACACCACACCATAATAGTCATGTTGATATCATTTTGGTTTATTGTCATAAACAGCCAAATCGTGACTCTATCTTAGAACTGATTCAGATATAAGACATGTCAACCTTGTTATTCTTTGCTATATCTCACAATTTATATATTCTCTGGCAGACACATTTGAAGATGATAACTGTTTCAGCTCTGGAAAGGATGATATGGATTTTGCCAGGTAACATACTTATACCTTTCTTTATTGTTTTTCTAATATTTCCCAGAGTAGTGTCCCTCAGAATAGTAAACCACAGAACTATGTGATATATATTCAAGTATCTTCAAGTAACTTTGGAAAGTGGATATAGTGATTATTTTGAACTTTTATAGTGCAGTTAGAATATTTACTCTCAGGAGTCTGTAATCTTTCTCCTTTTAAGTCACTTAACATCTTAGTATCCTGCTAGTCACCAAACACTATTTTAGAAAACAGTGCCGCCTTTTACTTTACAAGTTGTGTTTTTTCCCAGCAACGTGAAAAAGCAAACAGAAAGAACTAAGGGTAGCCCAGAAGATGAAGATTCGGAAGGTAGTGATGATGAACTTGGTAACCTGGATGATGATGAAGTTTCTTTGGGAAGTATGAATGAAGAATTTGCTGAAATAGATGAAGATGGAGGAACATTCATGGATCTGTTAGATGATGAAAATGAAGACATTCTAGGTAATCTATTTTAAAACTAAGACGGAGACTAGCTTCTTTACTTCCTCAACTTTGGGTTATTTTTTCTGCTGAAGGTTTTTAAAGTAGCACTGTATTCAAATTTTCTTGTTTGGAATTGAAATCTGTTTTTTTATTTTTTTAAACAGCTGACTTTTGAGTTTGACTTAAACCAACTGTTGCCCCTTTCTTTATGTTAAACAATTAGCAATTTATAAAAGTTACTCAGTATCCATCACAGCCCTATGGCATAGACAAAGAAGGTAAACATTTTATCTTATTACTGTAAATTAGCAAAGAGCACCTAAAATTGTGTCTTACTGTGCTCTGACCTTTCTTGTCCTTTCAAAGTTTTATACTATTTGGTCTTATTAATGAAGCTATATAGTAAATTCTATACTTGCACAAAATATAAAAATATGCCAATTATTGTTAGTGTCTTCATCTAATTGCTTCCTCAAAGCCTATGTTACTGGGATTATGAAATCCACATAATAGTACAGAGACTTGGCACTGGACTAAATATTTTAGCATATCTTGAGTACTATTTTCCAGTCCTATTGTTTTTAATTGCTTAATGCAAATGTTTCTGTTTAATAGAACTTGATGAAGGCTGTTCCAAAGTCAGTACCAAGAAAAGTAAGAGAAAAGGTGATGATTTTCATTTTGCTGGTTCATTTCAAGGTAAGAAAATGCATTTAATCTCTTAGAAGTAAACAGTGTCCATGGGAAAGGTATTCATTATTTTGGGAAATGAACTTCCATAAATTGGTTAGTATACTTTAGTTTCGAGTTTTTTTCTTAAAGATGTTTTTATATTGCAAAATAATTTTTCAAATATGTGGATTATTTTCCACATTTCCCTTCAATTATTTTCTCTTCCCTCACATTTAAATATCTCTAGATCATCTTTCCAGTCATTTTTAAAACCTTCTCTTATATCCAAACCCTGAATTTTCCAGACACCTGTTGCCTTTTTTCTTTTCTCAACCATTACTCTTTGCCATTTGACCCTTGTAAAAGTCCATGCTCTTTTATTAACTTCATTTTCCCTTTTATAAGATCTGCCATGACAGAACTATTTTAATCTCATTTTATCTTACATAAAAGATGAATTATTTTATAAGATACACTTTACAGGCTCGGCACCTGTGGCTCAAGCAGCTAAAGCACCAGCCACATACATCTGAGCTGGCGGGTTTGAATCCAGCCTGGGCCTGCCAAACAGCAATGACAGTTGCAACCAAAAAATAGCCAAGCGTTGTAGCAGGTGCCTGTAATCCCAGCTACTTGGGAGGTGGAGGCAGGAGATTCCCTTGAGCCCAGGAGTTGAAGATTGCTGTGAGCTGTGATGCCACAGCACTCTACCCAGGGGGACAGCTTGAGGCTCTGTCTCAAAAAATAATAATAATAATAACAACACTTTACAGTGTAGCACTTAGGAAGTGTACTAATAAATGAAAAAGGTGTTATTTCAAATGACAGTTTAAAGTTTTGTGGGTTTTTTTGTTTTGAGACAGAGTCTCACTTTGCCACCTTGGGTAAAGTGTTGTGACATCATAGCTCACAGCAACCACAAACTCTTGGGCTCAAGCGGTCCTCTTGCCTCAGTTTTTCATTTTCAGTAGAGACAGGGTCTTGCACTTGCTCAGACTGGTCTAGAACCTGTGAGGTCAGGCACTCCACCCACCTTGGCCTCTTAGAGTGCTAGGATTACAGATGTGAACCACCATGCCCGGCCTCAGTTTAAAGATTTTGATGAAAATGTAGAAAGTACTGTTTTGTTTCTTTCTAATGCCTCTGGCTTCTGCTTACCAATAAATATGAATAAAAATAGATTTGTAAATTTTTTGTAAATTTGTAAATTATTTTTAAATAATAAAATTTTGTAAATTTGTAAATTATTTTTAAATAATAAAAATAATTTTTTAAAGATTCTTTTACTGATAGAAGTCTCTCAGAAACATGCCTACACAATTACCAGCTCTTTCAAATACTGCTACCACTATCATTGTCTATGAAGAATAGCTAGGTGACTTAAACTAACACACATTTAAATTATAAAATGATTATCTTCTGGATTTTGTCTGCCTTTGACTAATGTAAAATCATATTTTAATGTTAGCATATATAAGGGCAAAGTTTTTCTCAAGATCCTCCCTCAGAAAGGTGTTGTTTTACCTCAAGTACCCCTGAGCCTGTTATTGACAGATGCTCTCTTAGTGACCTTGTTTTGATTAATCAAATACTATTTCAGAAGATACTGGCCTGAAAGATTTCAAATCTCTATTGAGGCTGGGCATGGTAGCTGACACGGGAGAATTGCTTGAGACCAAGAATTCGAGATCAGCCTGGGTATCATAGTAAGACTCAGCTCGGCGCCAGCCACATACACCTAAGGTGGCGGGTTCGAATCCAGCCCAGACCCGCCAAACAACAACTGATGGCTGCAACTAAAAAATAGCCGGGCACTGTGGTGGGCACCTGTGGTCCTAGCTACTCAGGAGGCTGAGGCAGGAGACTCGCTTGAGCCCAGGAGTTGGAGGTTGCTGTGAGCAGTGAAGCCATAGCACTCTACCCACGGGGACAGCTTGAGGCTCTGTCTCAAAAAAAAAACATAGTAAGACTCGGCTCGGCACCTGTGGCTCACGTGGCTAAGGCACCAGCCACATACACCTAAG